GAAGGGAAGGGAAGGGAAGGGAAGGGAAGGGAAGGGAAGGGAAGGGAAGGGAAGGGAAGGGAAGGGAAGGGAAGGGAAGGGAAGGGAAGGGAAGGGAAGGGAAGGGAAGGGAAGGGAAGGGAAGGGAAGGGAAGGGAAGGGAAGGGAAGGGAAGGGAAGGGAAGGGAAGGGAAGGGAAGGGAAGGGAAGGGAAGGGAAGGGAAGGGAAGGGAAGGGAAGGGAAGGGAAGGGAAGGGAAGGGAAGGGAAGGGAAGGGAAGGGAAGGGAAGGGAAGGGAAGGGAAGGGAAGGGAAGGGAAGGGAAGGGAAGGGAAGGGAAGGGAAGGGAAGGGAAGGGAAGGGAAGGGAAGGGAAGGGAAGGGAAGGGAAGGGAAGGGAAGGGAAGGGAAGGGAAGGGAAGGGAAGGGAAGGGAAGGGAAGGGAAGGGAAGGGAAGGGAAGGGAAGGGAAGGGAAGGGAAGGGAAGGGAAGGGAAGGGAAGGGAAGGGAAGGGAAGGGAAGGGAAGGGAAGGGAAGGGAAGGGAAGGGAAGGGAAGGGAAGGGAAGGGAAGGGAAGGGAAGGGAAGGGAAGGGAAGGGAAGGGAAGGGAAGGGAAGGGAAGGGAAGGGAAGGGAAGGGAAGGGAAGGGAAGGGAAGGGAAGGGAAGGGAAGGGAAGGGAAGGGAAGGGAAGGGAAGGGAAGGGAAGGGAAGGGAAGGGAAGGGAAGGGAAGGGAAGGGAAGGGAAGGGAAGGGAAGGGAAGGGAAGGGAAGGGAAGGGAAGGGAAGGGAAGGGAAGGGAAGGGAAGGGAAGGGAAGGGAAGGGAAGGGAAGGGAAGGGAAGGGAAGGGAAGGGAAGGGAAGGGAAGGGAAGGGAAGGGAAGGGAAGGGAAGGGAAGGGAAGGGAAGGGAAGGGAAGGGAAGGGAAGGGAAGGGAAGGGAAGGGAAGGGAAGGGAAGGGAAGGGAAGGGAAGGGAAGGGAAGGGAAGGGAAGGGAAGGGAAGGGAAGGGAAGGGAAGGGAAGGGAAGGGAAGGGAAGGGAAGGGAAGGGAAGGGAAGGGAAGGGAAGGGAAGGGAAGGGAAGAAGTCCTGCATTCCCCTCTTCATCCCAAACCTCATAAGGTCCTACATGTGTTTCCAGGAGCCTGAGAATCCTGGGATAAGTGTGGAAAAGAACCAAGTGGATGGTTTTGGGTGCTTCTCCAAAACGAAGTTCTAACCAAACAGAGTGTATCCATTGCCAGGTTTAGGACTAAATGAACCATTTTATGACTGTGACAAATTACTATTTCTATAGGAGCCTGTCCTCCCTCACATTTTTGTTTTTATTAAACCATTAATTATCTGAGCGCAGTGAAAAGTGGATAAAACAATGGGACCTTGACTTTTTCAGGCAGCTGCTGTGTGCTACCAAACTATCTATAAAAAGGATTTTGACATTTATGGAGCCTCAGTCAAAAATACAAAGATAGAAAAGCCTATTTACGTAGTCTTAAATTCCTCTCTATATAGATTTTTCTTCCCTGAAGATGCAGGAGAAAAAAAAAATCTTTTTTTTTAGTTTTTTTTTTTTAGGTGACCTCAGCTGAACATGCACGCAGAGTGGGTCATCTCTGGGGTTAACATCAGAAGACAAAGCTTGGAAAGGTCTGTGTTTTCTGCCAGGCTTTCACGCTTCCAACTGCAGACGCAACAGTTCGGCTATTGGCCTAGCCAGAAAATGTCTGCCACGTCTGCCAGCAGCACCTGAGATGCTGAAATCCGCTCTGTGAGGAGAGATCCCCCTCCAGGGGACACAGACAGCTCCTCGCCGTTACGACTACAAGGGAGGAAGAATGAAAACCCAGCAGGAAGCCCGTGTTTTCTCCTGTGGTAACTTCCCCACCCAACCAAGAGGGGTGAGAAAAGTTGATGGAAGGTGGAATTTGGCTTAGATTCAGTCTCTCTCCGGGTTGGCCCTGCACCCTCCAGCGTGGCTGTGCCAAGCCGATGAGAACGCTCTGGCACTCCTCCCTGGGGGCACAGTGACCTTCAAGAACATTCTCTGTATTTCCCTCTTGGTGCACAATGCCTCCGACTTAGCTCCAGCGCTCCTGCAGAGCCAGTCGGGATCCTGTCCTTGCCTTACCTTCAACCTTCCTGGATTACCTCTCGCGGCCAACCCACCCGACCTCACCTCTCTGGTCACGGATTGAGCAGCGCGGAGTGGGAGGACGGAGGTGTTGCAACCTGTGGCACTGCAAATACTTTCAGCAAACGTTACACCCTCTAGGAAATATTGCCTAACAGTTGGAGAAGGGGAGAGGCTGACGGTTAGAGAGTTTAAGGAGGCATTTCATTCACCTAAGATGTGCTGCTTCACTTTTCCTCTGCGTACGGTGAAACGAGACATTCCTTAGGGAATGACCAAAGACAACCGAACTGCGTATTGGCCCTCTGTTTTGAGATCCTAACGCAGGTGATTTCAAATGCACTTCGGCCTATTTTCCTGCCCGTTTCTGTTTGAATCTCTAATGCTAAGCACGTAGTTCAAAGAACACCACCACTAGTTTTCCTTTGGATGGGAGGAGGCTGGGAGGGGGAAGCAACATTCATCCCCTCTCCCTCTTCTACCCAGCTGCCTGTTTACATAAAACCTGCATGAATGTAGGACGCGTCTAAAAGCTGAGTTTTGTAGAACTTGACCAATAGGTTTAACAGCCATTAGAGTAAGGAATAACAAAGACAAAGTGACTGTGGAATCCTTATTATCTTGGAAAAGCAGGCTCAAAAATAATGTGCAATAGAAAAGGTGTACTGCTAACACGGGTAGTTAAGAGGCAGGGCTCAGGGTTTAATTCAAGGTAGTTCTGTCAAAGAGTTTCTCTCAAAGCAACATTTGAGTGATGTGTTTCGGGACTGAGACAGTGGGACACCTCGCTACTGCATCTGGTTTGTTGTTTAAGTGTATAAAGTTGGAATGTTTTAACGTGAAAGGCCCATTTGTGTTCTGTACTTCTGAAGATCTTGTGGGAATCCATACGAAATACGAGTGTAACAAACCAGTCCCTTGACTATAAAACATATCAAGATTTATTTAAGATATTTCTTTCCATTACAGAAGATGCAATAAGGTTATAATCCTTTTTCCAGGTGCTCGTGAAATCCAAGCTACAAAAGCAAGGAGTGCTGTATCAAACAACAACAACAACAAAAAAAAACTGAGTAAAAAGTCAAATATTAAACCACAGAAAATTCCTTTAAAAAAAAATTATTATTATTCTACATCATTACTTATACAGAACCCTGAGGAACTGAGCCTTGCTATTCAGCAGCCAGGAAAAAAAAAAAAAAAACAAACCCAGAATAGAGAGCTCACATCACACATCGACACACGCTGCAGGTGGAAGAGACAGCAGGTCTCAGAGGGTCTGAATTTTTCTCAGTTTTTGTAACCACCTAACAGATTGATTTCACCAAGCACGCCGTGGAAGGAAGCGAGCTATGTAAACACGTGGTAATATTTTCTTGCCGAAGAAAATAATCTGAGCTTTACTGCAGGGATATTATGCTTTTTTGATGCTTCTCTCTATAAATAGATGCAATTTGAGGACAGAAAACTACTGTTTCAGTGGTTTATGAGAGATGCTGTAGCAATCCCTGATGCTGGTCGTCCCGGTGTTCGAGTGAACAGCAATATTCCATCCGCTGAGCCAAAACCAGTGCTCAGGGCTGGGATCAGCAAAGCCAGGGCTGGGTGTCGTGAGGCGACGGCCCGGAGGTTTCACCGTGTGCTGTCGGTGGGAGCGCAGCACTATCTAGACAATCTCATTCAAAGATTTTTTAGGAGTGAGTCATGTGCTGGCGGTGCGTATGCTCCCAGTGCCCTTTTTCATAGCGAACCAGAGGGTCAGAACAGCGCGTCTCTCAGAAAACAATGTTTTAATGGTGTTTGGAGGCTGCTTCCCCCCACCACCCCCCCCTGCACACACAAATAGAGTCACTCCCCAAGTACCTCTGGAGCTGAGATGAGGTCAGTTCCAAGGCAAGCTTTTTTTTTTTCCCTTAGCTCGGCGTTGTGTTTTTCCGACAGTCGCAGTGGTTTTCTCACGGAGTGTTTTTTACAGGGGGGTTACAGCATCACCTGGGAGGGAGAAACCCACCTCGTGGAGGCAGCTAGGAAGGACTATGCGTGGCCGTGGACAGGTATTTTCTTGAGTGTGCAGCAGGGCTGTCAGGGTCAGAAAAGCGTGATTTCCCTTTGGTTCTGCAAGAAAGCCACCGTGAGAGAGAGGGCAACTCTCAAGACTTCAGTTTTCTTACCTGTATGATGGAAAACCCCCAATATTTACATGTTGGGGACTTGAACAAGAATGGATAATTACAGTTGTCTTTCATAAACAACACACACTTGGGCCTCCCAGCAGTGAGCTGTGTGGTCCCCACCCTGAACCAAGCTGCGGTCCTGGCTTGTGTAGGCTGGGTGTCAGTCAGAGGGGCAGTCCTAGGCAGCAGCGCAGCATCTTTCAGCCTCCCCATCAGCCTCTAGCCCTGGCTCTCACTGCCCAGCAGGCGTGCAGGCCCCAGACACAAGGAAATTAATGATTAAGCCCAAATTCTGAAACAAAGCTGTGGAGTCAGGAGAAGACAAACCCTCCGACTCAAAGACGAAATCCAAGTTTTTTTGGCTGGCTGCTGTCACGGAGGGGCCGAGGCCACTCGAAACCACCCTACAACTGTGGAAGGTGGAGCACAAGTGCCCATTTCACGTAACCTGTCACAGGGTCCCTGCGTAAGGAAGGAGGCTGACCCATCCCTTTCCCCCAAGCAGCACGATGGGAAAACAGAGCAACCGAGGTGATCAGCTAAATCCCAGTTTACACCTACATACCTGCATCAACAGGTGGATTCTCTGTGCAGTGATTTCACCAAAGCAATTTCTCCTAAGGGAACCCGTTTGCAGTGTTGCTGAGCACCTACAATCCTGCCTGAAATCAGCAGCAAGAGGAAAGCTCATCGCTTCGTGAGAGTAAGAGCTGTGAGAGGAAAGACTGTCAATCATGGGAAAAGGAATTTGGCCTCAAGTCCAGTGAAGTCTGTGGAAAACTTCCAAAGGTTCCATCTGGCTTTGTACCAGTATTTTGAGGAAACTGGGAATATTTCCTAGAAAATATACTCCCTTTCTCTCCCTTTCCACCTGCTTCTGTTGCTTTGTTGTTTCTGCTTTGTTTTTGCACTGAGCTCTTTCTGATGTTTTGTTCTTCTGCTTTGTTCTGATTTGGAGCTGCAACTTAAGAAGCAGCAAATCACTGGAGTAACGTTACGTGCAGCCAGCCAGCCCAGCTTAAGTAAAATCCAACCCACCGCCTAAGGTGTGGCAGTGGGAAAAAGAAAGGTGAGAAAGCACTAAAGCAAACAGCCATTGTACATGGTCCTTCCCACTGCTCGGGTTTCCCACTGCTCGGTTCCAAACCTGGCAGGGCTCTTTGTGTGGGAACCAGCTGCCCCACCTGGGTATCTCCTGGTAGATCCGCGGAGGCTCCTGTTGCTGTGGGTGTATCCTCCTCGCCACTGCTGTGGCTTCACTCTGGGACTCATGGCTGAACACAGGGTGTCCTCTGTCCAAACTGTGGCTTCTGGCAAGCTTCCTCACCGTAAGAGTGGACTTTTGACCAGTCCTCCCTTAATCCCAGCAGCAAGCGACCACACTGCTCTCCTCTTCCACAACCAGAGCAAGGGCTCCACCTGAGCATGTGTCAGCCCTTTACCTCCCGACACCTCACGAACCTCCGGTCTTCCACCAGCAGGAATACAGAACCTCCCCATAAAGGTTTCTGTGCTGAGTTTTAGGAATAGCTCTGCAATGCAGATTCTGGACCCTGCTTAGCTGGTTTAGGTTTAGGATGTCTTCCTCAAAGCTGCTGGGTCAGGAAAGGACCTGAGGCTGGTCCATCCTCATCCCTCGCCCCCGTGTCAGTAGATGGAGTTCTGGAGGCTGCAGGACACGAAGTCGGAAGAGGCGGCGTGGAAAGGTTACCAGGAGGAGCCAGAGGGGACCCCAAAGGGCCGGTGAAGCTGGGGCAGAGCTGAACTCCGTGCCGTGCCTTGCTCCACGTTTTTCTGGTGGAGCTGGACCCCCTCTGCAGCCAGAACCTTTTCTCTCTGGAGAAAAAAAAAAAAAAAGAAGAGAGCATGTGGGAAATGTTGTGGGAAAAGTGTCATACTCCCTGCATGCTTTTGCCTTTGTTTTTCTGAGCTGTTTCCAAAAGTGCCCTCTCTGTGCGCCTGTTGCTACAGCAGAGGGTGACTGTACTATTCAAAGTGTGTGTCCCCAGTTTGCCTTTGCTTGCTCCGCTCACTCCATGTGTATGGTCAAACTCCAGGGGAAGGGCGAGGGTGAAATTCCATTTTATTATAGAATGAAGCCATTATAAAATAGTCACCTGGACTGATACACCACCAGGGCGATGCAGGTTTCAAAGGTCATGGGGTGTTGAGCACCCAAAGCCCATTGAATTCTGGGTTGATTTGGGCTTTTTCAAAACTGCCAGAGGTAAATGCCCCAGAACAGCCACAGGGACCTTACTGCCCATCCCGAGCACCCCAGCACGACCAGTCTGTAAGGGATGAGAGTATCACAGACCCAAAGCCATCCTGTGTATGCTCGGCTGTATACCTTTGCCTCCCTAGATGGAGCTTCAGGGTTCTTTTATTTCTTTGTCTTGTCTTCAGGCGGTTTATTTCATACATCACTTTGGGAGGGAGACTCAAACACTTTCTAAGTACAAACCATCACTTGGCAGGACTTTTCCTGATACTAAACAAATTTCTCATTGCTGTACCAGTCGGGCTAATGAGGCATGTGTCCTCTTTCAAAAATGCCTTTGTTTCATTTCAGAATCCGGAGTGGCTCAAGTCTGGACCTGTCTCTTGGTTGCCTCCAGGACTCTGAAGTGATGCCAGTGAACCCTGAAGTCAGGAGGCTCCGCCCCTAGTCCAGCATTCTGCCCTCCTTGGGATGCTCTCAGAAAATGAATTGCTGGTGAAAGCGAATATTCCAGCAGTCTTAAGGGCAAACTGTGGCAACCGTTGCAGTAGTTTTATGGCAATCAGACTGTTACGGGATATGTGTCGTTCCAGTTATTTCTTTCTCTACCTTGTGAGCTGTTCAAACCCTGACAGGGCCCCATCTGTTGCTGTGAGTTACTGGCAAAGTGTGTTGCAGTCCAAAAAAGCAGTTGCTTCACAGTATCAGATGGGGCCAAATTTTCATGCGTGTTGTCAATCATGTTTTTTGCATAAACCTCAAAGACCATCCCACAAAGCCAGGCTGCTAGCTATTTTTTTTATTTTTTTTTTTGCTATGGAGAGCAACACAGCGAACTTAACCATTTATGTGGCAGAGCCAGTCTTTTGTGAAGTGTTTCCACTGCCCCGCTCTCGCTTCAGACGAGGAAAGATTCCCTTGTGCTGCTCTAGGGCTTGACTTCTATTTTGAGACAGTCGGTTAGCATCTACCGGTTCAACTCTTGGCACATAAATGGACACGGTAGGGTAGGCTGAAGAGACCCTCCTTTCACCCCAGGCACTAAATACCAATAAAAGGTCATTGTGATTTTGGCAGCATCCACCTGGGATAGATGGGGACTGCTCACTTAAGAAACGGCTCTATGTATTTGAGATATAGAAAAAAAAAAAAAAAAAAAAAAAAAAAAAAATTTCTGTATTCTGGTGGCTTTCTTACAGACAGAGCTTCTATTTCCATCAGCTGCCTGCACCGAATACTTGTCCCTCACTGGAAAGGTACAATCTGCTGTGAATAACCGCTCTGATCGATGATGGATGAACTTTGATTTATCAAGTTTAAGAAAACGCCCCGAAGGGCTGGTTAGGTATCACGAAACATCTGACGGTTACAGCTCTGGCCTTGAATGGCCTCACCAAGCTCAACTCTTACAGTGCTGAAAGAATGATTAACTCTGTGTTTCACTTCCCCAGAAACAGGATCTCACGGCTGCCTCTGCAGTATGTCTGCAGGGAAGTGCGCCTCGCCGCGTGAACAGAGATGGGTAAAACCATTCACACACAGTTACAAATCACAGCTGACCTCTGAAGTTGAACCTGTAGCATTTACTGGAAAAAAAAAAAAAAAGTGAATCTTTCCAGCGTCACCAGTGGTTTGACCATAGTACCTGTGACTAGAAGTAGCTGAATTTAGTAACAGTATATGAGGGAGAGTCACTGGAGGTATAAACAGGAAAAAAGATTGGGATATTGTCAGAAAAAGCAGGAATGGGGGACACGGGAGGCTCACACCCACACCTGAAACTCCCTGAATGTACCACATACAGTATGTACATGCTGAGCCTTTGCAGACGGGGAACTTTCATCCAAGATTTAGTTCTGACTGAAACCATGAAAAAGTTCCAAGATGTTCAAAAACCAGATTCCTGCTTGCTGGACTTTTGGGAGCTTAAGCAAAGCTGGTTTAATTTTTGTAACCACAAGCAAATGTAAAACCTCTACGTTACAGACAGTACCAGCACCTGGGGGCAGCTCTAGGACAGAAATCATTGTAAACTGGAGTAGTCCTGGGCACGGGCGCGTTTACAGAGGCTTGGGAAATGAGGGAGAAGTTGGGTATGAGCTGAAGAGCAGCACGTGTGAGGAGCCCAGGACCCTGCAGAGCACAGCTGAGGGGATTGCTTCTCCAGTGATCTGTGGTGGGACCACCTGGCCAGGCATGAGGGCTCCTCTTCCAACTGGGCCAGCAGCTACCCTGGCATGGCGTTGAGGAGCTTCCAGGTAAGAAATTACAGAATGTGTCTGTATTTTCACCAGTTGGATCTGTTGGTCCAGGGGCTGAGGCGTGGGTCTGCTGTGGAAGCACAGCGAGGGGCTGGTCCCTGTGACTCTGCCGGGTTGCTCAGCCCGTGGTGCTGGTTTCCTCTTGCTCCCTCCCCGTGCCCAGCCTCATCCTCCAACACAGGGTGATGGTTCTTTCTCCTGCCCAGGGAAACGCCCAGCAGGTGTTTTTCCCAATTTGCTTTATTTTCCCACTTCGTTCTAAGAGCACAGACTCGCCAGCGCTGGCGTTGACGTGAAGGAGGAGGCGGCGAAGTGCCGTGTCTGAGGGGACACGAGGCTGGGGAGAGGAGCAGGGAGTAAACCTCTCGCCATTTATTTAGCTGCTAAGTTAGTAGAAAACAAAACAGAAAGCAAGAAAGGTTGAGCCAGATCATTCTTGAGGTCCCTTCCATCCTTTCTATGATCCGAAACCACCCTGCTCCCCCTATACCCTTCCCCAAAGGGCAGGGAAATGGGATAGTCCCACCATAGTCAGGCCTAAATTTAAGTCACAGCTATGGGAAAAATCCAATTAAAAGATTTTTTTAAAAAGCGTTAGATGCAGGCTGTGTCTAATTCACTTTGCTCACCACACAGCCACAGTTAGCTACGACTCTTCCTAGTCTTCTGCTTGTTAATTTTTAAAGTATATTTATAGGCAGCTCCTTTGTTCCTAAATGGTTCTTAAATGGCCATGATTTTAGGACCTGTTCAAAGGGAGATAAAGGCCAAAGACAAGTAAACAATCTGGAAGAGTTGCATGTTATTAACTCATCCTAGTTAGTGTTCAGGTTTCCCTTTATTCACTGGTACTCAAGGTTTGTTTTTTTTCTCTCGCTGTGTGTTTATTGAAAGGCCCCGGCTCACAGTCATCAAATAGCAGATAGTGAATAATGAGTTAGGCTGGCACGCAGAAATCCAAATGGGTTTGTTTAAAGTGGTGTTTGGTATGCAAATAAAATTAGCAATCCAAATGAGGCTGTTTCTGCTCAGCCTTTGCTTAGCCTCTCCCCGGCTTTGCCTCCCAATTGGAGGGACTGGGGGAAATGGTTTAATATGGTCTATGAAGTGATCCGTGCTCAGGCACCAAAGTTAAAACGGATTCTTTATCAAATGTCAGATCCTTCCGGTTCTTCCAACCCCTGCCCTTAGGACCTGTGGCTGTGACCCAGTGAAGTGGGGCAGTAACTGCCCCAGGGACTCAGCCCTGCTCCCGGGCGCTCCCTGGGGTCCCCCCCTGGGCTGGCTGCTTCTCTGCGCCACAAGCACTGATGCTCGGACCTCAACTTGGGAAAAAAAAAAAAAAAAAAAAAAAATGCTGTCGCCTTGAAAAAATGTTTGATAGACGTGTATGTTACTCATTAAGTGGCTTCTTTAGTACTTAAAGCCACTTTCGCTGAATGAAACGATCGAATTATGTGTTCCTAGTTTCTGTAGTCGAAATGTCTTGAACTTTGTTCTCGAAGCAGTTTGGATTTGTAACAGTTGTGCCAGGAGGTGCTGCTTAAATTTACTGCCTTGGGAGCTGACTCCACCTTCCCTTGCCTAAAATAAACTGACAAAGGAATATGAAAAGACCTTCTTCAAGCGGGAGTTTCTTAAGGGGGGTCAGGCGTTATATTTTTTTTTCCCTACCGCCTAAGTATTTAAACAGTCTACGTTTAGGGCTGATGTTCTGAAGGTGTAAATAAATATCCCTACCACGCTGGGAACAATCCTTTCTGCTGACCGTGCTTTCATACTTAAGGGGGATATGAAGTGTTTTTAACACACTGCAGATTTTATTGCTTCGTGATGACTAATAAAGTATTTAGAAGGGTCCAAGCTGTTTTTCCCTCTCAACGCTTTGGTTCGTGCAAAATATTCTGACAGCTAAACAACGCTGCTTCTTTGTCTTTGCTCAGCTCCCCGTTAGAAATCCCTGCTTTGGTTTTGCTTGTTTTAAAAAATGTTAAATGTAGGAGAGGAAAGGAGGTGCT